GGCAATGGCATAGTGAACCTGTACTCCGTAGGGCAAGACAGGCGACTATAAGGTTGGCCCGTCACGTTGCGCAGAAACCGGACCCTGCGGCAGGCATAGGACAAGATGAGATCAACCGTAATTTGGGTGTCTCTGTAAGTCAGGAGTGGGCTCGCTGGCCGCCATCATCTGAACAGCCGCGTGCCTCGGGATCAGTACGCGTAGGTTGTCATGTCGGAGGAAGCAACTCTAAAACCCAACCTAAAAAAAGGCGAATGTGGAGGACGTTCAAGGGCCAGCCAGGCTCGCCTCGGCTTTAGGCTCGGAGAGTCATTGAACGATGATGTCGTTATAGGTGCTGATGGTTGAAGACGTGGTGGGTGGTTGCTGTGGAGGCTCTTATCGAGTAACTCAGTCGTTTGTCGTTCGAACGTTAGCAAGGCCGGACTTCCTCAAGAGACCGAATCGCTTGGCAACTTGGCAGGCAGGTCACTGGGCGTAGTCGGGGGTATCTTTCGGTGCCGCGAGCGGAGGGTAAGAGAGTCAGCGACATGCAGAGAACCGACCGGTCGTTGGGTGGCACCGGTTGTGGCAGTTTTTGGCATTCTCGTGTTCGGAAATCCGATGTATTCTATAAAGCCCGAGGATGTCGCTGATTGTCTGCCTGTTGACGAAGCATGTGAGGTGGTGACGTGAGGCATATGGCTGATGCGGCTCCGGCGGACTGCGACCCCGACTGCGAGCGACTGCGACTGCGATCGCTTGGCGATGGTGATCATCTGCAGGGCGACGAAGGATCCAACTCAGGGGACCACGACCGATCACCCTCCAATAGTGGAAACCAACGGTCCTTGAAGCTTCCTTCTGTTGGCCATTTGCATTCCGATTGACCTAGGCGGGGGTGACGACAAGAAAAGCTTGACTGACATGCAGACATGCAGGGCAGGTCGGTAAAGTAGAAAGGATAAAAAGCAGTGGAGGCGGGAGGAAACGGGCTTGCAGGACAGCATCCACAATACTAGGTGCGGTGCCTGTGGCCGGTGGAAAGTGAATGAGTGTAATAAGACGTCTACGATATGTTTGAGCGATCTGTCTTGGTGTTTCTGCCAAGCCGGCAGTGAGGACAGGACAGGCGATGCACCGGTCGAATGCTGGAAATGTGACCTCTGGGGATGTGGAGGGAAGCACCTCGGCACCGGGGGGATGGAGGAGGAGGAGGGACAGCATCAGCCTCATTGTGGCAAGTGGAGAGAAAGGTCCGAAGCACCGCCACACAGCACGACACCTGGATGGCTCTCTCTTGATACCTCAGGCAGCAAGGACCATTGGGTGTGGTCTGTGCACAGGATGACAAACATTACTGCCAGTGTTGCATCCGAATCAAGACCTTGGCCCCCACGTGATCTGGCCCGTGCCACAGATGAAGCTCGGTTCGCGCGGAAAGCGGGAAAGAAACCCTGCAGCAGCCAATCAGAGGGCACGTCAGTCTGGCGAGAAACGGGGACCATCCAGCATCCGAGGGAGGGTCCAGACACATGACTGGTTCTGGACCGAGTCCCAACCAACCAACCCCGTTCGGGCCCTCTTAGGTCGCTTTTGTGTGTGACTGTGACTGGCCCACCCGCTGCAGCCCAAGGGAAGGAGCCACTGAGAGGGAAGGCGTGACTTGCGCCCGACTCGCGCCAGACGGTGTGAGGTGGTCCATGACTGGTGAGTGAGTGCCGCCCTCTAGGTACCTCAGATGAGGTCTCGTCTCCTCTCCCGGACCCGGACGTAAGGCGGGGCACTGGGCAGCAGCGGCAGCAGAGCCTATCCGTAGGTAAGGTAGCCCGTAAGGTAAGGTAGGTAATTAGGTAGGTGCCTACCTATGGATCCGTAGGTTCACGGTTCACAGTTCAGCTCCTCCAGCCCGCCAACCGCCAGCCTCGTTGATTTGTTGCTTGCTTGCCCGCTCCATTCCTATCTGCTCGCCTAATGTAGGCATCGACTTGCGCATTTTTGGCAGAATTCTATCCGCACCGTTCTCCATCCATGAGTTAGCCAACGCAGCGGCATCTGCAGCCAGCCAAACGAGAGAGAGCGGTTCGTCCTTGTTCGTTTCGCACGCTGTTCTTCCCCACGCGCAACGCTCGCTCGCTCCAACGCCTTGCTGCCCGCCCGCCCGCTCGTTTCGCTTCGCTTCGCTTCCCGCGCAAACCTCGACGAACACTATCCGTACGGATACCGTACCTATTCGTCCCTCCCTACGGATACCCAACGGTGGTAGCTACCTACGTGCTACCTACTTTTTGCTGAGGGGACCACCTGCTACGGTCGGGTCGCTCGCCCACTCAACTCGTCACGTCCCGTCCACGCCCACACACGGCGTGTACCGCAACGCACCGCACCGCACCCACACCCCCAATCCACCGTCCCTCCATCCATCCACACAATTACCTACTGGTCCTGTCTGACCTTCGACCTGACCATCCGTACCGCACCTCACCGTCGAGACTTGACCGTCCTGTCGTCGGTCTCGGTGTGTCTTGCCCACGTCAAACGTCGCCCACCGTTGTGCCCCCCCCGTTCAGCGACTCCTCAATCTCCGAACCCGGCACACGGCCACATCGCCGTTCAGGGTCCAAGACACCCGGATCCATTTTCCCACTGCCATCCTATCGATATCATCCGTTCCCGTCGACATCTCTGGGGCCACTAGACCCCGAGCTGTCCCTCCACCTCCGCCCGACTCATCGTCGACGCCCTTCCGTCGCTCTCCCTTCAAAAGGCCTCAATGTCGGACGACGAGTTCACCGGCCCTGACGGCCCATCCGGCGCCGCCGGAGGTGATCGCGACAAGCGCGCACCGCGCTTCAGCTGGACTCCCGCCTACGAGGCCACCTTCTTCCGCTCCCTCTGCGACTCTGTCCAGCTGGGCCTTCGCGAGAACCACTCTTTCAAGGCTGATGCCTGGGATCGCGCTGCTACTGCCTTGCGCGAGAAACATGGCGCATACCCCACAAAGAGCCATCTCGTAAACAAGTCTGACAACGCGCGCAAAAAGTTTCGCCTCTGGCGCGGCTTGCGCGAAGACCCCGAGTTCCTCTACAACCCAACCACAAGAACCGTCACCGCCTCCGAGGAGGCCTGGAAAGCGCATATCGAGGTGAGTCGACACGCGCGCGCGCGCTGCCTCTGCCCCTGCACCCCTTGCCTTCCGGCTGCCCTTCGTCTCTGATATTGGACCTTATCGCTGACCGTCTGCCGCAGAAAGAGCCGTTGTCGCGCGCACTACGAGGGCGCCCCTTCGAACATGAGCAGTACATGGAGATCCTCTATCCGGATGTCGTCGGTTCCGGTGGCGCTCCGAAGCGCATCATGAAGCCGAAGCGCAAAGGACCCGACGTGATCCAGGGCTCCGAGGATCCGGATATGCCGGGTACCGCCGTCCTGGATCTCCAGGTCGACCCGCCATATCGCCCGCCTTCTCAGTCCGGCGTGAACCAACAGCCGGCGCAGTCCCGCGGCTCCGTCAGCCAAACCCCCGCAGCAAACGTCCACCAGCCCATGATACCCCAACAGCAAACACAGCAACCACAACAAAGACCCACATCCACGACCATCCCGCCTAGGACGCACATCGCAGGCACCAGCGCCCTCACGCCACCCGAGGAGACGGCGACGGGACGCAAGCGATTCCCCCAACATGCCCCGACAACCGACAAGGCCCCGACAGCGCAAATGGGCCACCCCACGGCGCAGCCGGTGGAGAAGCGCCGCCGCATTTCTGGCTATGCGAACCCCGCCCAGGCCTCCGCCTCGGCGTCATCGTCTGCAAGCAACCTGGACGCGACGACGGCCTCAATGATGAATGTCGGCAAGCAGCTACTCGAGGATGGGCTGGTCAAGATCGCCGACGCTATCCGGGGCCCAACCAGATATCCCGAGCAGGCCATCGATATTTTCTTCCGTGACTTTTCCGATGAAGATATGGATCTCCAGCTTAAGATTGCAGAGAAGGCTCTCACAGATGACAACAAGGCCATGATCTTCTGCAAGATGCCTCCACCGCTGCGCAACCACTGGGTGAAGCGACTGAGAGAGCTGCACAACAACCGACCCAACGCATGAGGGGTAACAGTGCAGAAAAGAGGGGGAGTGTGACGAAAAAAAGAAGAACAGCAGGCGGTGAAGGCCGAGTAAACGAAAGAGCCTTGATCCGTCAGTGTAGGATTCGTGGTGACACGGCGTTTCGATGTTAAGACGACCCTCTCGTACGCGATGGTCAGCGGGGGGCACAGGGCTTTAAAGGCAGGCTAGGCTAGCAAAGGCTTTTTTGGGGGCACTTTGAACAAGATGGAAAGGCTGGATCAAGCGCAAGTTGAGAGAAGTGCGAGGGCGTTCTTTGGTGTCCGGTCTGGGGTGGCAGGTTCAAACTGGGGCTGGAGGAGTTAGCAACCAAACGGCATAGCGACTGGGATGTTGAGCTTTCGCGACACCTTACTTTTTTTGTTGTCTTGTACGATTCTACGATATTACTACCACCACTACCAGCGATGAGCAGCGGAGGCGAAATTATCGGGCCGAGAGGGAGAGTAAGAGAGTGAGGCAGGTCAGGTCTCCTTTTTTCTATTATAGTATATTCAATACTTATTGTCGATATCGAAAATGTGGGTAAATAGTCCGGAGCGATGCTGTGAAACTAGTGAGCCTCTGGTATGACTCATATGAATAGACTGGGATGGGCTGGATGGGAAGACACTGCGTGTGGTGAGCCTAGATGCAAGTCATTCAAGCGAGCAATGTTTTTCTGGTGTGGGACAGCTCAGTTGAGATGGTGAGGAGTATCATGTGTGTCCGTATTCGCCCTGAACGCCAAGTACATACATAGCGGAGAGCCTTTCCACGTCGTGTATATCGTCAAAGACGTTAAAATTCGCCCCGCGCCCGAATCCGCGCTGCAATCATGTCATGCCCATGAGTAGAAATAAGAGTTCCAAGCCATCCGCAAAAGTCCAAGTGTCATTACAACAGACTTGTCTTCATTTCTTGCCCTTGGTCTTGTAGAGGTAGCTGCAAAGGACCGCCAGTCAGTATCAGATCTTTGTGACATCGCCGAGGTAAAAAGAGGACGCAGTGACTTACTTTCCGAGAACGCCCTCGCCAAGACCGACAACACCCAAGATGCCCAGGCCGAGACCGACGCTCTGCCACGACAAACGGCCGCGCTCGTAGAGACCCCAGGCCTTGTATCCGAGGAACGCGCTCAGGCCGACGACGCCGACGAGGTTGGAGACGACGAGGGCGCTGGCGCTGCCGTCGCTGAGGCTGGCGAACTGGCGCTTCAACCAGGAGTCGGCCCTGCGGGCCTTGCTGGCGGCCTTCTTTTTGGCGAGGTCGGCCTCGGCGCGGGCCTTCTCCTCGCGGTCACGGCGGTCGGCCTGGGTCTCGGTCTGGATCTCCTGCTCGAGGAAGTCGTTGGGGACGGTGTGTACGCTCGGCATGTCGACGTCGACGAGGGAGGAGGTGGAGGCGGCGGAGTCGGTGACGGCGACTTCGGGGGGCTGAGGGGCGGCAGCCTGGAGGAGAAGGAGTTAGTTGGGGGGTTTTGTTCACATTGTTTGAGCGGTATTGCGTCATTGTAAACATTGGAGGGGAGAGAAGGAGCATCACGCGATCTCGCAACGTACCTCCTCGGGAGTCTGCTTGGGGCCCTTGGCTGCGGCGGCGGCGTACGACACTGCATTATTCGTTAGTACACACGAGAAGTCGCTTGACGGCAACAAGGAAACCTACTTGTGTATTACTGGTGCGGGATGAAGCTGGAGAGATGGAGGTTGGACGTGAGGGAGCAGCAAGCTTCGAATGTGGTGGTGGTGTGCAGGAGAAAAAAAGGTGTGATAGGCTGGCAAATGACGTGGGATGGACGACGGGAGGGGCCTTTTAAGAGGTGGCTGTCATGTGAAGGAGAAAACCGGGAGAAGGGGAGGGAAAAGTCGAGAATCGGGAGGGGAAGGGAAAATTGCGAAGCCAAGGGCAATAGGCGCGGTAAAACGATGGCGCACAGGGGCGGGTCGTCAGGTCGTCGTCAGGTTGGTTGGTAAGGTAGGTAGGGACGCAGTAGTGTAGGTACCTAGATGCGGTAAGTGAGGTGGTGGTCAAACCACCTCCTCAGCTGCACCGTGAGCTGGTCACGGCCAAGTCATCAGGTGCAGGTAAGGTACAATTTCGCTCCCCCTCACAGATTCGAGCTTTCCTTGATCTTGGTTGGCGCGTGGGAGACCTGGGAGACCAATGACGTATGCGGCTCGGGAGCTTGGGACACCTCACTCTGGTGCAGCTCCCGGCCAATCACAACGTCATATCTCCACTCTGCGATGGGGGTGTTCGGCCTAGACCCGGGGAACAAGCCGGGAAACGGCCAGGAACGCTGTCATGCAGCGGGCCTTGTAAGGACGGGGGCCCGCGTGGGATTGGGTGGACGGGTGCCCATTAATAACAGATCTTTGCGGTGTTGTTCATGCTGCTACCCACGGCTCAGGGCTGATGGACCCAGTGGAAGACGAAAGAGTCATGCTGTCGTGTTCGTTGCTGGGCGATGTGAGGCTATTCCCACCCGACCACCCACGTAAGCACACAAGCAAATGACACATATTGACATGCTACTTTCAGACAAAAGAAAAACATCTTTGGAGATGTCTGTGTGTATGTCTATTGTTCTTGGTGATTGTTGTTTTGCGTGGTTGTTGGTTCCTACTGATACACTTTGTACACGATTATGGTACACGCAGAATATGCCCGGATTTTCCCGTCATGCTCGTCATTAGTCGCCTCTTTTGCTGCGTCCACATCTTTCCTCGTCGATGTCCGCATCTAATCCCTGTCGTCCACGTGCATGGATTTCTACAATGGTAAAAAAGGTGTGGAGATGTTTTGGTTTTTGTTTAGTTGTCGTTCGCCGCAGTGGCATCCGTCGCCGCGGTGTTGGACTTCGTGAGGTCAACGCTATCAACCTTGACAGCCTTCTTGGGCTTGGTCTTCTTCTCCGTCTCCTTCTTCTCGGGCTCGGCCTTGATCTCGACCTTCTTGATCTCGGAGTCGCTCTTGGTCTCGGCCTTGGGGGCCTCGGTCTTCGTCTCCTTGGGTGCTTCCTGCTTGGCCTCCTTGGGAGCCTCCTTCTTCTCTTCGGCGGCGGGCGGGATGGAAGCATCGGCGTTGGCATCGAGAGTGGGCTGGGCATCGTCGGGGGCGGGGCCCTCCTCGTCGTCGGCAAGCTCAGCACCGTAGACGTCGGGGTACTTGCGGAAACATGTTTGCATTCCCCTACAAAGCGTTAGTATATCCGCATCGAAACATGGCCATGTGACTTGACGGAAACGTACTGGAACTTCTCAATGCAGTCCATGCCCTTGGGCTCCTCCTTGGAGTAGACGAAGCAGCTGAAGGCAGCCTTGAACTCTTCGCCGCAAGGTCCGTCAGCCATGCCGCCGAGGCACGGGCAGTCCCAGTTGATCTCGCCCGTCTCGGGGTTGAAAGCACCCTGCTGGTCGGCCTCCGCCTCCAGGGCCTCGGGAGAACCGGGCGCCGGCTCGCCCTCGGTCTGAATCGCCTGTGCGTTGTCGGCCGCAGGAGCGGGCTTGGGCTGCTCTGCCTTTACAATCGCGCGCTTGCGCTTCTCTTCGACGATGGCGTCAACGGTGGTCAGGTCGGCATCGGAAAACTGGGAGGGCGCGGGAATCGTGCGGGCTGGAGTCGCGGACAGAGTTAATCATGTATCCCTTGCGTTTGTAGAAGGACTGCGGTGCCAGACGTACCGACGGGCTCCTCGGCGAATACTGGGCTGGTGTTGTACCAGTAGAGCGCACCAAAGGCGGCACCCCATCTCAACGCCGAGCTCTTCCATGTCCGGGGCTTGTCGGCGGGTGCTGTCGAGGCGAATCGGCGAGGGGCTGCGCGAATTGCGGATTGGCGGGCGGCGCTCAAGGCGCGGGGCGTCGAGCGGACGGCGCTGCGATACATTGTGAATGCCGAAAACCAGAACCGAAGAAACCAAAGACGGGGTAAGAAGACAAAGGGGAAGAGGCAAGGCAATTAGATTCGCGGAGGGCGCGGTCGAGTGGCCGGTAGACTGGTTGGTAATCTACAGATTCGAAAAGAAAATTGAAGCTTCGATTTCGGGTTCTGCCGGGGTTTACGCGGCGCAATCTGCACCCTGGCACCTGGCTGGCTTCGGCCGATCGGACGGCCCAGCAGGAAAAAAAGAAATCAGAGGAAAAATCGGGGTCATTCAAGCATTTCTACTGGTCATCAAGTTGGTTGGGTCATTTTATGCAGTTGATTCCTTCTTTGGTACTCTGCACATGACCTCTACATATCCCGCAGGCAGCTGTTTGTCAAAAGATAACACCTTGTAGACGCTGGTGATACAGCTGAGGGGAATATTTTTATTCTTCATCCTGATTTTTCTGAGTCACCTGTGATACTTGGTTCTGACTGACTTTCTTTCGGACTATTTTGGCTACCCGTGCAGGTGGAATATTTGTACATAGAAGCTCGACTTGCTGTCGTTTGGCGGGGTAGACGAGTAACTTCAAGATGCCGAGCTTCGAGTGGCGCCCCATTGCATTTCTGCGAGACAGGCAGCCCGATGCCGAGCCTGCTGCATTTGCTCTCATTGTTCTCAACCAGCCACTGAAGCAGACCCCGGTGCTTGATTTGTTGTGGCAGAATGGTACGATTTGGTATCTGATATTTTTCACGCGGAACACTGACGCCTTTCGTAGCCATCGTAAGAGTTGCTGCAGACGGCGGAGCGAATCGACTTCTTGATCTGAGCAAAGCGACGCAGTCGCAGTCGCAGTCGCAGAGCACTCCTTATGTTGGTTTTAATCTTTGAATGCCGACGTACGCCGTTCTAATCGCTGCAGGCCAATCTTGACGCCATCATCGGAGACTTGGACTCTTTAGATCCTGTTGCGAAAGATTTCTACACCAACCTGGAAAAGCCCGCCCAAATCGTGCATATGCCCGACCAGATTTCGACAGACTTCGGCAAGTCCATTCGTTGGATCAGATCACAACACCCCGAGGTCGACATTGTTGCCCTTGGAGGCCTCGGCGGCCGAGTGGACCAGGGCCTCAGTCAGGTACATCAGCTATATCTATCGCAGCCAGGACCAGGGTATGATGAGGGCAAGATGTACTTGGTATCCGGCCAGAGCTTGACCTTCCTGCTGAAGCCAGGAATCCACAGCATTAAAGTGCGGGAGGGCGGCGAGGACGTCTTTGGAAAACATGTCGGCATCATTCCCATTGGAGGAACGAGCTACATCACCACCGAGGGGCTCGAGTGGGATGTTGTGGACTGGGAAACCAAGTTTGGAGGCCATATGAGCACCAGCAACCACGTACTGCCCGAGACGAAGGTGGTCAAGATCGGGACAACAGACACTGTGCTTTTCACGATTGCCCTCGCGGGAATAGAATAAACCAAAGTCGACTGTCGCTTGCTGTACACGGTGTTTCTGAATACTCGGCCACCGACACCAAACGCCATGCCCCCCTGAATGCCCTGAGATGTCGCAGACTTTTGATTGCCGCCCCAACGCCACGTAATCAAGAAACAAACGAATCATCGCAGGAAGTGAAGGACCAGCCAGCAGAAGAGGAAGAAGACGATGACGCCAGCCCAGAAAATCCACTTGTCCTCCTTCGCACGGCGCTCGATCATGCGGATAGTGTCACCGGAGATGCCCAGCGTATTGCCGACTGAGTATAGCCTCTTTTGGGTGTTCTTGAGCATCTCGCGCTGTGTTCCAAGATCGCCGAGGACAGCCTGGCCGCGAGCAATGTACTCGTCCAGTGCTGAATTCGTCTGCGCAAAGAAGTTTTGCTCGCGCAGCGCGTGCTGCTCTCTCGTGACATCGTTTCCGCCCATACTCAAACCACCGACCTGGCCTCCTGTTGAAGCGCCTCTGCTGTGGAACGAGGACGACTTGTTGACGTTGGCGTAGGGGTTCTCTGGTGTCGAAGTGACATAGGCTCGACGGCCCAGTAGCTCGCCTCGGTTGTTGCTGTGGACTGCATCTTCGCGGGCCTTTTTGAGGTCGTCGACTTGGGATCGGAAGTCGGCCAGATCGTCGCGAAATCGCTTGACACGCTCAAAGGCCTCCTCTTGCTTCTTGGGGACGAGCTCCTGGCGCGCAAGCTGGTTGTACTCGTCGACGGTCTTGGAGAAGGAGGCGAGGGATGCAGAGACGTTGCCGATCTCGGATGGGGTCAGAGCGGCGGCTTGGGCTGCAGAGTCGGAGAGCTTCTCGAGATCTTTGCGGATGGCCTTGCTTTGGCGCAGGGCCGAGTTGTACTGGACGTTCTACAGCTAACAGTTAGCAGTGCAGGCGCAAAACAGGTGCTTAGGGTTGCGACTAACCATGCTGTTTCAGTTTGCGCGAGGCGTCTTTCTGGGCGAGCTTCTGCAAAAAAACGAAGAAAGATCAAGAACTAGACTTGGAGTTGGAGAGAAAGGTGTTCGTATGCGCAGCTCCCCTTTGCCTTGCCGAGGACAACCTGGAGCTCAATCTACTTACAACAAGTGGCTTCTCGGGCAAGGGAGATGCCCAAGAAAACACGTCACCGCCTTCCAATTCGGAAGAAGGGGTAGCCCAGTGCAGGAAGCCGTGTGGAGACAGTGAGCGCACGATGCGGGATGCACGGTCCTTCCGGAAGGCAATCGCGATGGTCCCTATGGACCTTCGACACTTTATTTCCAGCATCGTAATTACACTCTTGCAGCTGGTATATCGACACCCATTCTGATCGAAATGCTCTGTCCAGCACTTATTGTCAGTTCTGTTCGAACTGTACCAATGCGTGCTTACATGGAATGTGCTGCGAACCAGCATTTCGGCCGAAGTGCTCTTACATAGTCGCCGACAGCGGACCGCTAGTTGCTTCACGACCACCGGTCACTCTCCGTGATTGCATCTTGGTCACGGTTTGACGAAATCGGATTTACCACCAGCCTCGCCCGGTACGACAGAAACTGAGCACTGGCGCACCCAGGAACCAGACGCTCAAACCAAGAATGGCCCGCCAACGTGATACCGCCGTGGAGAATACCGTCTCCATCATGGCCACAGGATTCCGAAGGCGGTCGCCGACTCGGCACCGACATGCAGTGTCACTTGATAGTGATGCCGCCCTACTGACCGACAATAGGCCATGCGAGGCGATGATCCATTATCTCATCGCCGTCGCTGTTTAGCGAGATTCTTAGCCTCAAATGCCATTTTTTTCCTTCGTCCTAAAGTCCTATTGCCGGACAACGATGCGACTATAATTGGACTTCATCCCGCTCTCCACGGTCTATCCCTTGGCATGCAGAAGAAGCAAAGCCACCATCAGCCCACTCACGATGTCTAGACCTTCAAGTCCTGTACCTTCCGAGAAGTCAGTACCGCCCACCGGCTCGACAAAGTCGGGTTTGGAAGATGTTGAGGCCACGGCAGCACCGCCTGCAGAGCAACCAGAGCAACCTCCACGGTATTCTATTTACACGACATGGGAGAAACGCTTCATCGTGCTAGGCGCCTGCTTGGCCGCCTTCTTCTCTCCTTTCACCGCCCAGATATACCTGCCCGCACTCACGGTTCTGGCTGAAGACTTCAACGTCTCTGACTCCGACATGAACCTCACCCTTACGACCTACATGATCTTCCAGGGCATCGTACCCATGTTCATCGGTTCGCTGGCCGACAACAGTGGCAGACGACCAGCCTATGTCATCTGCTTCGTCGTTTACATCGCCGCCAATATCGGCCTCGCCTTGTCACAGAACTACGCCTCTCTGCTTGTCGTCCGATGTCTACAATCGGCCGGCTCGAGTAGCACAGTTGCCCTGGCCTCCGCCGTCGTTGCCGACGTCGTGACAAGCGCAGAGAGGGGCCAGTACATTGGAATAACCGTTGTTCCAATCGTTCTTGCGCCTGCGCTTGGCCCAGTCCTTGGTGGCATCCTGACCCAGTTCCTGGGTTGGCGGGCCATATTCTGGTTTCTGGCCATCCTCTCCGGCGTATTCTTCATTGCCCTGCTACTCTTCTTCCCAGAAACCTGTCGAAGAATCGTGGACGACGGCTCCGTTCGACCCCCGCGACTGTACCGCACCGGCTATCAGTTATTGAAGGACTACTTCAGATCTAAGAGGACTCATGGCGAGGAAATGACTAGAACGACAACTGGAGGGACATCGAACACCGCAAGACCATCCCTTTCATTCAAGATCAACCCTTTCGCCTCCCTCATGCTTCTCTTTCACAAGGAAATGGGCCTTCTTTTGGGCTTCAGCGCCATCGTTTTCGCCGGTTTCTATGCCATCGCCGCTTCGATGCCAACCCAATTCGCGCAGCTGTACGGCTTTGACAGCTTGAAAGTTGGGCTCATGTACCTGCCGTTGGCTGGAGGGTCTGTTGTCGCGGGCTTTGTCGTTGGACCCCTTATCAACTGGAACTACCGTCGGCACTGCAGGCGCCTGGGCATCCCGTACGACAAGTCTCGTCAGCAGGACCTGTCCGAGTTTCCCATTGAGAAGGCCCGCCTCGAGATAGGTCTACCTTTGCTGTTCTTCAGCTCGATCCTGCTTTTGATTTGGGGATGGGTTCTCCAGGTTGGTGCACCGGTGGCAGTTCCGTGCGTACTCCTCTTCCTCTTTGGAGTCGGAATGATTGGCTTTAACAACACCACCAACACTCTCATCGTCGACATCCACCCAGGCAAAGCAGGCACGGCCACGGCGGCAAACAACTTCACCAGGTGCCTGCTGGGAGCCGCTGCGACCGCGGCCATCTTGCCTATGATCAACGGAATGGGAGTTGGCTGGGCTTTCACGCTCCTGGCTTTGCTTTATATCGTGTTTAGCCCGTCTTTGCTAGCCGTCATGTACTGGGGAGTCAAATGGCGCAAGGCAGCAAAGGAGAAGGAGCTCAAGAAGAAAGGCACCGCTTAAGAATTGTGATACCACCACTGATTGCATTTATGATACGTAGCATGATACCCGAGACATTTATATAGAAACTTGACCAATGCAAGATCTCGCCTAATTTTCAACCCCGCCCAGTAGTATGATTTTCCTAGGGCCTGTGTTTGAGTGACTGGTTCTACACCTCGCTGCTGCCTGTACGCCCTGCCGTTGACACCAGAATCGCGGGGTTGAAACGAGAACTTGGCAGTCAGCGCGCCACGACCAACCTCCCCTCATCCCACCGCGTCTTTCATCTTCAAATTCAACTCATCACAAAATCGACTTCCCATGTCACTCCCACTTACGGATTTTCCAGTAATCTTACATACACACCATGGAGAAAGATCAAGACACTCACCCAGACGGGAGCAAGACGCTCACAGCCCAGTGCTACTGCAAAGCCGTCCACTTTACAATCACCGTCCCGACCTCGTCCCTCCCGCTCAAAGTCCACCTGTGCCACTGCAGCATCTGCCGCTACACACACGGCACACTCTGTATCTTCCATGCACCACTGCCGTCTGGCGTCGCCCCGTCATTCCTTTCACCATCCTCGCTCTCGGCCCTAACCGCCTACCGCCACGCCTCCGCGGCAAGCACGCGCTACTTCTGCAGCACTTGCAGCTGCCACATTGGAGACCAGGGCATTGAAGACGACGACTGGGTCATCTCTGCCTCCATATTCGACGCCAACAAGGACGATGTTCCCTCGGTGTGGGATATTCAGCAGCATGTCAACACGCACTCGACGCTGGGAGGGGGGCTCTACGACTGGCTCCCAAGTATCGCTGGCAAGGAGTTGAAAGTCTGGAACCCGAAGCCAGATACGAAGCTCAAACTACGCAGACCCGAAGTTGGAGACGACGGCAAGGAAGTGCTTCGGGCTCAATGCCAATGCGGAGGGGTGTCTTTCACCATCTCAAGACCATCAGCCGGCGTCGAATCGTACAAAGACTGGATCTCGCCCACGGAACCGAACAAATGGATGGCCGGATCAGATACTTGCGGCGACTGCAGACTCCAGACAGGCGCCCACATCACCGGCTGGGCGTTCGTACCCCAATCTTGCATCACGCCCCAGGTTCCGGAGGACCTCACACTCGGGACCTCGAAGATGTTCCAGTCGACGGAGAAGGTGTCTCGTTCCTTTTGCGGAGTATGTGGCGCCTCGGTACTGGCCTTCTACAGTGGTCCAGAACGCGCTCTGGTCGATGGCGACAGGCTCTTCAACGTCGCCGTGGGGCTGTTTCGGGCGCCCGAGGGCGTTCTGGCGGAGGACTGGTTGACTTGGAGAACTGTCAAGGTCGGTTGGGCAGAGAGCGGGAAGCAGTATGACTCGGCGCTGGTGGAAGCATTGGCTGAAGGTACGGCGAAATGGGGCGAAAAGCACGGAGACAAGGGGAAGATTCTGGAGATGTATCCTTGATACCGTTTATTGCCACCAAAGGCTGAAAGAAGTTCTTGCAAAGGTTCATCCAGCACTTTTCTTTCCTTCGATACATGAGATCCGCTTTCTTTGAGGCTTTAATGACAAAGCTCAGGCAAGCTGGGCATAGGTCTGCATGACTCTTTCTCTCTCCCTCTCAAGGAACTCATCAAAAGTAGTCATAGTAATCCCCCAACTTCGAGTGTTCTCCTCATCCGCGAACTGGTCCATGTCGCGAGCGGCCAACTGCCCAGCAATAAAAGGATTCCCAGCCTTCTGGGCGTCGATCTCCTCTTCCTTCAAGAAAATCGCCCGTATGTCCTTTCCACTGGCCTTGGACAGCTTCGCCATGATCTCATCCACCGTCAGCATCTCCGATGACAGGGGAATTTCCTGGCGGTTGAATCTCGTAGAATCGCGATAAGCTGCCAGAGCAAACTTCCCAATGTCGTAGGGGTCTAGCGTCGGTATCTTGGTGGTTGGCTTGAAAGCATTCGCGAACCTTCCCTGATTGACCAGATCCGGGAAAGGGGCAACCTGGGGAAGTAGGTAGTTCGACGAGAAGCTTCCAGGCCGCAAGACGGTCCAGTACTCAAACCCAGCCTCTCGAACCGCCTTCTCTATGGACTGCTTTGAATGGAGGACCATGGAAACAAAGCTGTCTGGGTCAAAGTGCTCCAACCTCTCGGGTGCCTGAACGGCGAAACCGCTGCTGTAGATGAAGTGGACAGCGCCGGCCTCTTTGGCAGCGGCCATGATACGCTTCGCGGTGCGGAGTTCCCAGGTGTGGTCGATGAAGTCAGGAGTCAGGTTGAGAAAGGCGCCGGTGACGTTCTTCATTGCCTCTTTGAGGGGCGCATCATCGTCGTAGCCGCCTTTGGTGAGACTTGCGCCGAGATCTGAGAGGGCTCTGGCGGCTGGCGAATCGGGATCACGGACGAGGGCATGGACTGCGATATTGGCTTTGAGGAGGCTATGAGCAACGGCGCCGCCGACTGTGCCTGTGGCACCGCTGACGAAGATGGTTTGTTGAGACATGATGATGGTGTCTGTCGACGTGGACGTAGATTGAGTGTGACTCTTGGATGCCCAGGTAGCTTTGATGAAGATGGATGATCTGTTCCCGTCATCGTTGTATTTACTAAAGTCCTATATACTACATTTCAGCGATCGGTTCTTGTCATCTCACGTGGTCTATATCCAGCTTACATACCCTTGGCGGCTTTGCGCCTAAGGGACTTATGTTGTCCGCCAGGAAGGGCGACCGACAGGATGATCCGCGGAGCCACGCCGCGGAGAACATATTGTAGCAGACAGCCTATTTTTCTTGTGGTGATGATCTAATTTGCTGCTATGGTTGTTATTGTTACTGTTACTGTCGTTGTCCTCGTCGTCGTCCACTGTCGTCGCGGTTAGTCGTCGTCGCTATTATCATCATTACTACTTGTTTCTATCACTGTATTTATTAGAGTGATCCAGAAAACCACATATGAGAAGTAGCCGAGCGAGTACAGCAAAGTTAGGCGGTCTCTATTGCAGACCTTCATGTCACTGAACCCAGCCACCAAATTGATCTGTACGGGTTGCTGGGAAGAAGTTGGTGCGGGGTGACAAAGGAGCCGAAGGATGAAGGATGATGAAAGTCTTGGTGGTGGAAAATGATGGCGGAATCCCGCCAGATGACTAAGTCCGCGGACAAACAACACAAAGATGACCTGCTCAGCGCTTCTTCAGCGCAGCAAATCCCCTGAAGCACCCCATCTCCATGCCTGCAGCATCGCCGCCCGCATTCCGCTCCACCTCAACGATTTGCCCTTCACACTGACATCGCGAATCTAATTCATTCAAGGTTTCGACATATCAGACGAGAAACCTCCGCATATCAGACTGCCAAATGTCAAACTCATTCTTCGAGCGGGCCAACCCGCCCCCGCGGCGGAAAACATGTGTGGCTTGCACGAAAGCCAAGCGACGATGCGACCACGGCCAACCCTCGTGCTTGCGGTGTTCACGGCGGAAAATCGACTGCGTCTATCCAAGTCCGCTGTCCGCCAGATCAAAGTCATCCGCAGCCCATCATACTCCGCAGAGCTTTGGATCACCTTTGCCGGAAAGCGACCCGACCCCCGCCGCTGAGACCCCTGTTCCCGCCACCTTAGACGCCTGTACGGATAATTCTCTTGTGTCGTGGTCACACGGCCCAGACCTTCTTCCACTGGATCTAGAGGCCTTGGAGGATGTCGACTTCGATGTTGGGTTCGAGGATTTGATTAATACCGACGCTCTGCTGGACGGAGCATTATCCCTCCCGGTGGCACTTACACCAAAGCCCGACCAGATGTTGGTGCCCTCTCGCCACCACCCACAAACCTCTCTGGAGGAGATGATAGCGAGCAGAATCCAGTATGCTCTCGACGTCATCAAGAAAGTGCCTTCGTCTATGGTATCTGAAAACCAGACCCCTTGGTCACATCCCTACTTGTACAGAGCTTACATGCCAAGGGAGATGCAAGGTATGTCACTTTGCGGGTAGTCATGGAGCCCCACTGACAATATCATCGCCAGATGCACAAGCGTGCTGTGCTTTGTATGCTGCAAAGAACCAATACAACGCCGCCATGATACTGCGTACTATTCAGGCCAGGGCACATGAGGTCCTCGCCGCTCCGCCGCCCAAAGGAAGGCTTGAGGCCCTCGCGCGCCTGCATGCCATACTCCTCTACCAAATCATCCGCATCTTTGACGGTGATATTCCCATGCGAGCTTCAGCTCAACAAAGCCTCACGGCCCTCGAGCCCGCGATGCTCGCACTGCTTCCTTTCGTCAAATGGGAGTCATCTCAACCCACGACAGGTCCAGCAGAGGATCAGTCATTCTGTCCCACCAAGGAGTTCTGGCAAGAATGGATATGGCAGGAGTCAGCTCGTCGTACCATTTTCTTCACCTGTTTCTTTCTCATCACACACCAAATGCTGATAGGACGAGAACCGCCCAATGGGTGTTCGGACAGGTACATCTTCTGCCAGTCATGGACCATGTCAGCTCACCTCTGGGGCGCCCCGAATGTTGTCGACTTTGCCATTGCTTGGAGAGAGAAGAAGCACTTTGTGATTAATCAACAGTCCTTCAATGAGGCGTTGAGGGATGCTTCCGCGGATGATATTGACTTGTTTGGCAGGATGCTAATGGTAGGAGCTCTCGGCATAGACGATACGAGGCTGTGGTTCTATAATCGAGGCGGCACACTGTGACAGAAATGCATTTGAGTTAAACTCCACGGAATCTTGACTTATGCCACTCGGCAGGGAGGCTTGGGCAAGGACAGGTGATCCAGCAAGCCCACGGAAATTTTCCCAGCAGTGGAAGACAGTCGTTCACATGAAATGGAAAGAAAGATGGAACGCAAGTCTCGTTCTTATCGTAAAGCTAGCTAATTGCCTCTCATTGGGCATTCCTGAGCACGTAGTGCTTGTCACGCATACTCAACGACCAAAATCAAAAGACCAATCGATTCCCAAGATCTTCTGTCGGTGGTATGCAAACCGAACCCTCGATGTCCCTCGCTCACCACTTCTCAAAGATCTTCGCGTGATCATCTTGCTGGCCGGGGCTGGGAATGCCTCGGAGTTCCTCCAGGCCGGGCTGATCCTGATTCTCGCAACGAACGAGCTTGAATTGCTCGATACGGCCTCCATGCTTATTGACAGAGGTAGTGGCGAGCGTAACTTGGTACAAGCCGTCGTAGCGAAAGCCGACCTTGGGGGCGTGCTTGAAGAGCATTTGCTTGCCCTTGCTGGCGGCAGCGCGGATGACTCGGACCATGTTTCCAGTAGCAAGACTGGCGGCAAGGGCCTTGGTGCCCGTAGTTCGGTCGGGAACCTTCTCAACATCTTGGTGATTTTCGGAGCCCGAGCCGGAATACCAGACGACGTCGCCAGTGTCAATGTCCGTAGACTCCGAGGTCGGCGAGATGACAACACTGTATGCGCCGGTGGTGATGTTGCCGTGGATGCCGGCTTGGGATTGTCCATGGGCGCCATGGAACACAGCAGAAAGCTGGCGGGGATACTAGGACCCGACCTCGAGACCGTTGTGTCCGTACTCCTTGGATTGGTGACGAAAGTGCTTGTAATCCGGATTGAAGCGGATATGGATGCCAATGATGGTCAGGCCATGCATAATACCTTCAACACCCCAGATCGGATGGTTGGTGGGGGGACGTGGAATGTCGTCAATGAAGGTGATGACGGAAGAGATGTTGGAAATCTCATCGTGGGTCTCCTCATTGACGGTCTTCTCATCGACGATTCTATCAGCACGAACGCTGTCATCGATCCACTGGCGGAGGCTGACAGCACGAGACTTATCACCGGCGGTAAAGAGACGCTGCTTCTCGGGGGGCTCTCCGTCCGAAATGGAGAGCAGGCGGGCGGCCAAGTCTCCTTGGTGATTAGCCTGGCCGGCGGTGATGCTCATGTCGTAGTAATCCTGGCAATCCTCCAAGTACTTGAAGAAGTCGTAGATCTCCTTCTTGAGCAGGATGACAGAAGGATTGTCAGTGGACTTGTTGATTCGGGACATCATGCCGATGCGAGCGATAGTGTTCTTGAGTTTGAACAAGTAGGTGGACAGCTCGTTGTCTGCACCGGGACCGGGAACCTTGGGGCCGCCGGAGGGACCACCACCAGCGCCGGTACCACCGATAAGCTTCGAGGCAGACGGGGCCATTGTCGGATCTCAAGCTGTTGCTTCGAGTGTCTTCGGGGCGTTGCTGGAGCGTCGTCGATCGCTGTTCCACCCCCCTTGTCAGTAAAGTTCTTTGGAGGCAGAAAGAAACGTAGATTTGTACTCACTAGACTGTAGCCGATCGGGTTTGATGAAAGGAGTGTTCTACCCTCAAGTCGGAAGGGTTGTTGACCAATTCACAAAAGTTAGGGGTGGTTTGAGGTGCTGATAATTGTGAAGCAGGAGAGAAACCTGAAAGAAAGTTCAGGAGGGAAGGAATTTCCAAAGGTGGTGGGGGCAGAGACCAGACCACGAGGCACCGACTAGGGCTCAACCGCTTTAGGCTATGGCTTTGGGGCACAAAAAGAGAGGTCTGATTATGTCGTCGGGGCTGTGATACCATGAACACTCGGACCCGGAGCGGAGGTGTGGGTCCAAAGGATCGGCGGACTCGGAGTGGACTCGGGGACGAAGCAGTTTCATGCATAAGGCGATTATGCTTCTTGGGAAGACTTTAGTTCCCAGGGAAGTCTTTGTCTGTGATATGAGAAATTCATCATGCAATCAGATATGCATTGCTGTGGAAGTCATCAAAATAACACTACACTATTCAGGTGTAAGTCGGCGCCCCCTATTACACGCAACAAAATCGCACTTCATGCTAATCATTTCCGCCACAACCGTGTGTGAACCCTCCAGCGGCGAACTGCGCTTTATTATTGCCAAAGCATCGCGCTCTGACCCAGATAGGAGTGTTAAAGTCGGCCTTCCACTCATTGCCGTCATCGTCCGGCTCGTCGAAATACTCAAACCTCCACATCGACAGGCCACCACCGATGCAGTCCTTAGCCTCCGTCATCAGCGTCTTCTGACCGAAATCATGGCTTGCCCAGCCGTAGCCGTGCATGACATAGCTGCTCCAATAGCCATGATACCAGCCCTTGCAATCACCGCCGGCCTCCTTCGGGACCGGCCAGTGGCGGTTGTCTTTCTGGGGGTTGACCTGGTATGTGTAATCGCCGTGGACGTACTCGCCGCCGAACTTCCAGTTCATGGGGTTTTCCGGGTCGTTGCCGTCACAGTTGTTGATGACGGCCCACATTTTTTCAAGACACTCCTGCTTGTCGTAGTTGGTGCTCCCCTCCGCGATGGAGAGCAGAAAGCCGGTCTCGTCGGGTGTGCCCTTGTGGTATGTCTTGGCGTAGCTCCACCCTGACTGGCCTGTGGGACGAGTCACACTATCGCAGAAGTCCTTGTAGTCCTCGTTGAGTCGGTCGCCTGACGCGTAGGCCTTGGACCCGTCTCCATTATGTTGCCAGCATGTGAACTTGTCCTGCGCCTCGCATGAGGGTGCCTCGATGTCCAGAACGGCAGCACGCGTGTCCACGAGAGTCTGCAGAGCGAAGGAAGCGATGGTGTAGTGACCCAGCTCATTGGGGTGGAAGTTCTTGCCGACCCAGTCCGGCAGCCCGATGGACGGGGGCTGAATCTCGTCGTCCGTGTCTCCGGGGCATCCCGGAGGAGAGGGGTTTCGGCGGTCCAGCTTGTGCTTAACCTCAGCACCAGGGTCCGCCGAGTTGAACAGAAGCGAGTTGTATAGTTCAGTTTCAAGGTTGCGACGGGCGACTTCAGCCAGGGCAGCCCGTCTGGTCTCGACCAAGGGACCATACTCTTCCCACCTGCGCTTGAGGTCTACGTCGTCATCGCTGACGCTGGTGTCGGGCTTGAAGAATTGCAGGTCGGGCTGTTCAGGGTCAGGGTAGTCGCCTGATCCGTCCGGATCGCACATTTGACCTTGAACGCCGTCGTACACCCACGGGTCCCAGTTTGAGAAGCCGATTTTCCACTTATAGTCAGAATTGCTGGAAGTTTCTTCAACGACAGTCCTGATGATATTGTTGATCTGAACCACAAAGTCGTTGAAGGTGTTGCGGCGCTCAATGGTCAGGCCCGAATTGCCCGGCCAGAGCGTGGCATACGCCCAGGGCTGGTTTTGGCAGTCTTCCGTCTCGGTGTTGAAGAATTGAGCGTAGCCATTGTAGATGACGACGCCGTCGTCATTCATCTTCTCATCTAGAGCCGCCATCAGCTGCTTCATGTTGCCTTTGAGGATGGTCTCCATGTTGGATTGAGCGATCGCGATGACGCTGTCGCAAGAAGAGTCGCCACTGGGCACCAAAACGCACTTCTCGATCAGCTTGGCGAGGCAAAGATCGTTGCCTCCAGCCGTCAACATGACCAAGTCCAGGTCGCCTTCGAGAGCCTTGATCTGGTTGTAGATGCCGCCCGTTCTGTCGCCGCTGCATCCCACAAATTGGAAGTTCTCCACGCTTGAGCCTAAGGCGTCGTTGACAATCATCGGCCAGGCTGTGTCGTAGCGGGAGCAGTACCAATTGGTGTTCTCCGGGTCGTCTAAGATGGGGTTGCCCAGAGGCTTGCCTGAACCTATGCCCGCCGTGTAACTATCGCCTACGGCGGCCCAGCGCTTGATCCAGCTATAGTCGCTGGGGTTGTCATCGCGTTTGCCAAGGCTGCGTTTCTTCTGTCTCTTTGGAGCGAGGAAAGATGTTGATGCGTTGCTGGCTTGAGAAAAGGGCACAACATAGGCCTCCACCAGGGCTAGCCCGAGAGCATGGACAGTCAAGAGGAGCGTGATCCGCATGGCTGTAGTAAAGAAGCACGTACAAGCCGGAAGGCAGAGCAAAAATGAGCGACTGTCTCTGCAGTCAAGGCTTACAACTAAGAAAAAGATGTCTGAAAAGAGTGTGAATGAGCCACAGATGAGGCTAGAGACAAGATGTCTAAAGGACGGAAGTCGCGCGAGGGCGCGAGGACGGCTATGGATGTGAACTCCCAAACTTGAGCTCCGGCAGGCGCGAGAGGGAAAGTTACGGGAAATGGAAAACCAAATTCACAATCGCAGTATCGGTCCAAGCAATGTTATCCAGACCTGATGCCGGTGACATTCTGACCGGAACGTCGGGGGCGGGTCTGCGGTCGTGGGTTGGGACTTTGGTATCCCTCCTCCCGAAGGATCCCAAAGCCAGGATCTGTGTGATGGTTCATCTCGGTGCTTTGCGACCAAAATCATTGGAAATCATGGCTAGCTGGCTGCCTAATGCAACAACGGCCACATCATGTCGACTGCCGTTGCGTGTGATATTCTTGGCGTTCAAGAATGCGCCGCCTGCTCGTTGGCCGCTCGAGCCGTGGAGAGCACTTCGGGCCGCACCCCAGTCGCCGGCACATCATCATGGCATCGGCCTACCTCCGTCTTGTCGTTTACGTATTGCCGAACGTAGTTAGGGCTGACCGGGAAGCCACAATGCTTGATTTAATCCGTAGTCAGGCACTGATCATAGGATTGCATGCCCACGTGGTGTCTGGCCGGGCCTAAAACCAAGTCCCACGGATCGGGGTGCCAATTCGGTTATCACACCACGTTAACAAAAGGGTCTTTTGTGAGGGTTCACTACACCTGCGGTGGAAACCCCAAAACGAGCCCTAGCGCTTACTTCAGATAAGCTTCTGTGGGGGATTCTAAATATGCAGGTCCGTCATTCAAGGTTATGGGCAACAGTACCGATACAAGCTCGCATTCAAGTGTCGAGCAGGGGCAGGATCCTACAACCGCCAGCATGACCACATGCCCCTGGAATCACCAACAGCCTACGACAAAGGTGGGATATTTGATGGATACCTAGTAGTTACTGGCGACAAAAATACTTTCTGATGCATCCCATTGAATCATCTTGGATGTTGTCCAAGTTGAGAGCATCGGTGAGAATCCCTTTCCCCCGCCCCCTTTCTCTTTGTTTCAACCAGAATTCGCCATATTCTTCCTTCTCGTATCTTCTGAAAACAAGAAAGCGACAGTCACTCTTTTGTTCTATGTTGTCAACCATGGCTTCGAGGTACTCTCTTCGTCGCCTCGCCCTGGCGTGCTTGGTCCTCGCTCCTGGTATCGTCCAAGCCATCATTGACACAAATCATACGGCAGAAATGGCCAGACAAGTCCGTTTCCATAGAACTGGAAAGTTGGCCAAAAGGCAGGATGAAGGTGACGATGACTACGTATGCACTGCCACTAAAGGCTGCGATATCGGCTGCTGCGGGCCCTTGTAAGTCAACTATCAACTCCCTCTAGCTGAGCGAGTATCGGATCCCCTCTGTCCGCCAAGGAACTGGACTGACACGCAAAATCGCAGAGATGAGGAAGGCAATGGAGTATGCGGCTTAGGCCCGGACTTCTGCGGCGACGGCTGCACATCGACGTGCCACTACAAGTCTGAGTGCGATCCGGGCTGGGGCATCGAGTGGTCCAACGCCACAGCCTGCCCCTTGAACGTATGTTGCAGTGAGTATGGCTTCTGTGGCACCGATCCCGGATTCTGCGGCGGCGAGGTCGTGTCCTCGCCGCAGTGTGATATCGCGGCCGGCAGCTCGAATGGCCGTACCATCGGCTACTATGAGGGCTGGAACTCGCAACGATCCTGCGGCACCATGACCCCAGAAGAGATTCCCAAGGGCTACTATACCCATCTGTTCTACTCTTTCTCGCTCATCAACCCTGAAACCTTCCGTCTGGAACCTATGGACGACACAACGGGCAGTCTGTACGGCTCTGTGTCTGCCCTGAAAAAGACGCAACCTGAGCTGCAGGTCTGGCTCGCCATTGGCGGATGGGCCATGAACGACCCGGGCGCGTGGCGGACGACCTTTTCGGATTTGGCCGCGAGCGAGAGTGCTCAGGATGAGTTCTTTGAGAGCTTGGTCACCTTCATGTCCAACTATGGCTATGACGGTGTCGACATCGACTGGGAATACCCTGTGGCCGAAGACCGTGGTGGTATCGAAGCCGACTTTGACAACTTTGTCAACTTCATCTCACGCCTGCGCAAGCGCTTGAACAACCTTGGCACGCCAAAGGGCTTGTCCATGACGCTGCCTGCGTCATACTGGTACCTAAAAGGCTTCGACATTATCAACTTGGAGCCCCATGT